TATAGGGTCAGGTTTGTGTTCCTGACCCTATAGTGATCCTTTAAATAAACATTTCACTTCTTATGGTTGCCAGAAAGAATTTATTACAGATTTGGCAAGTTTTATTTCATGAACATTGAAAGCATAGGTAACGTGCTTGGATTTAATCTTGTAACCTTGGGAGTTACTAACAGATCTCTACAGCTTACATGTCAGCCTGTGGACTAATACTATTAAGTACAATTCACAATTCCAGTTATTATTTAGAATCTAAAATTCTCTATCTGTTATTCTTAGATACATTTAAGAGTTATCCAAGGTAGAATTGTCCAAAGCAAGTCCAACAGAGAAACGGACAAATCCAACAGAGAAGCTCAACAAAACAATTCTTTCGATGATGACGGAATAAAAATCACTTTGAAAAGATTTCCTGGCATTGCCAAATTACTGTAATGTAATTGCTAACTTCGCTGGGACTAGCAGCTATACCAAGACTTGATACCCATCATGGATACCTGGAAGGATAGCATAGTGTGCCACTCTACATTGTGTTCTTCCTTGGCAGAATGTGGCACTGTTTAGTTCTGTCAATTTTGGTGTGGTTACGCTCTCCGGTGATATCTCATTCAGCCTGAGTGTGAGTGAAATATCTCCATATATGACTGGCCTCCCATTTTTCCTATGGACAGACATTGCGTCACATGTAAAGTTTTGTCAAAAAAATTAAAGGACCACTATAGTGCCAGGAAAACATACTCGTTTTCCTGGCACTATAGTGCCCTGAGGGTGCCCCCACCCTCAGGGTCCCCCTCCCGCCCGGCTCTGGAAGGGGGAAAGGGGTAAAAACTTACCTTTTTCCAGCGCCATGAGAGCTCTCTCCTCCCTTCCTCCGCCCGCCGCTCGCCGGGCTGAATGCGACGCGTGCAAGAGCGCGCCACAAGATTCAGTCACATAGGAAAGCATTCCAATGCTTTCCTTATGGACGCTGAGCGTTCTCACTGTGAAAATCACAGTGAGAAGACGAAGTTTCAGTGGCTGTCAATGAGACAGCCACTAGAGGATTAGGGGGAAGGCTTAACCCATTCATAATTATAGCAGTTTCTCTGAAACTGCTATAATTATGAAAAAATGGGTTAACCCTAGAAGGACCTGGCACCCAGACCACTTCATTAAGCTGAAGTGGTCTGGGTGCCTAGAGTGGTCCTTTAACGTGAGCCACTCAAGAAATGCACTACACATAAATCACACATACACCTCGGGCATTGGAAATTTCCATTCACTTTTAGTAATGAACATAAAGTACTCTGGAATCAGCCCCCTATAACAAAACTGTATTCTACTATAATATGAGAAGGGGTTTGCAGTATTTTATTTGCTTGCTATTAAAACTGTGTCCTTTTGCGATAAAAGAAGTCTTCGTAAAATAAAAAAAATTGATGAGGACACAACATCTGTGAGGCGAAGATCATTCAGAAACAGAGTAGGGCTATGATTTGAAATAAGAAAATGCCGTTTATAGCATCTCATCACGTTTACGACGCTGCCGTTAATAAATAATCCTGAGAAAATGTCAATTTGTGTACTAAAATGTGCCCAATATATCACACAGTGTACAGATAAATACACATAGCATATTTAGTGACCATTGCATTTATTTTTCTTTTCTGCAACTTATTTTCTAATAAAATATACAAAAAAATATAATTTTCAAAGCAATAATTAGCATTTTTTTAAGTAACCATTTAAGGGCCCCTGGGAAGCATTCCCAAAATTAAGTCATATATATTAATAGTTTTATTCAAACAATTTATTCAGATTTTTTTTCTCAAAATAAAGCAGAGTTCTCTTTTCATTTGCAAACATAATTATATGGTTACAGTCAGACACATATAATTACATATATTGGTACAAAAGAAGTAGTTAAACCTGCCCTTTGGTCTATTACATTCATACAACATGCTATACAAGATGGTTTAAAAGCTTGCACTCTAAAGTGACTGGCAAAAGTATGAAATGACAGAATATATACCGACTATTGAGCTGGATAATAATGTTTATCCTCCAGGACATATTTTAAAAAGGTTTCTCCTTATTTTAGAAATAGCTTGCAAATATAGAAAAATCCCATCTCTGTTTGTTAGGTGCAATATACAGGGGCTGTAGACGTGAAGAAATCTATAACTGATGTAATTGGTAGTTTAAAGGGACACTATAGGCACCCAAAGCACTTCAGCTCATTGAAGTGGTTTGGGTGCAGTGTCCCTATTGCCCAAAGTCCTGCCATGTAAAACACTGCAGTTTTATAGAAACGGCAATGTTTATATTGCAGCGCTTAGACAGCCTCTAGTGGCTGTCTTCCAGACTTTAGGTCACCTAGCACATAGGATGTTTTTACACTCCACAAGAGGACATCCACCATCAGTTAAATCCTTATGTGAAAACATTGGCTCAACTCTTTCATATGGGGAGGGCCAGTGGCGTACACATGACCCATGGGGCCCTGGTGCGAAAATTGATCCGT